GTCTCTGGCTCTCTTCCACCCTTCACATGGTTGTGCGAAAAGAGCTCTTCGAGGAAGTCGGTTGACTGGCCAAGCCAGCGCAACCTATGCAGTGTGATCAGTTCATCTATCGAGGGTGAGTTATTTCTCCTGAATAGCATTCGACGAACTTCAGAATTGCCGATCCGGTGTTCCAACCAGATTCGGACAATTCTCCGAAGACATCGATGGTCAAACACTGAAAGTTTTTTGACGCCGTCAGCACGCCGCGGCCGGGATTGGAATAAGTGTCGCGCCAACAGTTGCTGTCTGACCAGTTTGTCGAAGGTGTGCAACCGGCGCTTGGTGCCCAGTTGTGGTTGGCTAGAGCAGCGGGCCAATTGAGCGTTGAGTAGCTGGTGCATCTGGCACAGGAATTGGCCGAAGCGCTACTGGCCACATTGCAGTCACAGGAGAAGCCTTTCACAGTAAGGGATATGGCTCTAAAACAAGCCACAGCGAAGAGCTGTGGAAGGCAGCTCTAATATTTATTGTGGCAGTCGCTATGCGAAAACCGAGACACTATCCGGAACACCTGAATGAACTTACGGAACAAACAATACGATGTATAGAGGAAGCAGAGAAGGGAACAGGTCTGTCAGGACTACCGGACTATTGAAAGTGTTGATTCCCCCTGCGAATTAACGGTGACCAGCGGTAATTTTCCTTGCTGCCTGACTACTCATAAGTAACGTGATTTACAAAGTTAATCAATAGCGCAGAGCTAATCAATAACACAAGCTCAGCAGACGTCTTTGCCATGTCTGACGAACATTCCGCCGAACTTCCTCCTCTCGGTTACTTGCCCCCGACGCCCGAGCTAGTTTGTAAGATCCGGGCGGCTATGGATCTCACAGGACGATTGCGGCTATCAGATTCTATGCAGTTCGTAGGCAGTACACAGTGGAATCAGACAGACCTGGGCGGCAGATGATGTATTGAGGACTGACAGGAACTGGTTCTACGGACAAACGGATTAGTAGGCATCATGAATTAAACAAACGTACAATCAACAATGACGCAATCAGTAGTCACTGACGCAGTAGAGATTGCTGGAAGCAGCAACGAATAAGCACCAAACGATGTACAAACATACAGTCTGACAGTATGAGTTAGCCGTATAGAGAGACAGCGGCGCGGAAATCTATACGTTCGCGATGTGAGGGACTGTCTTCCGGTCGGCGGTGCAACGCGACAGCCCGCGTCACGTGACAAGTCAGATTGCGCGGTTTCGTCAGTTTAAAACAAATCTCGCCAAAGGCTATCTGGCAGGTGTGGTACATGGGTAATGCAAAACAATCAGCCGTTCCGGGCGTCAGGCTTCTGTGGTGGACAGTGCATTTGCCCACCGTTCGGGAGCTCCGGATTCGGCACCCGGTCAGTCCGCCTTTTCGTCGGATTGGACACTCGAAACTAGGTGCAACCGAGACGAACTTGCAAGCAATGACGGACGGGCAACAAAATATTCACATTAGTTACTGAGGCATAAGCAGACCTTAAGTAGGAACGAAACTCGGGGAAAACGAGCAGCGAGGAAACAAAACGGCGTCATAATAAATCACGTTACTGTAACGCGTCGAAAATCGCCGTGTCGCTTACCGTCACCAGTCAGAGACACGAATCAACATATGCAATGCGAAACGGACGCGTGCGACCTTAGTTACATGGTCGCTACAGTCAGAGACACGGATCAACACATGCAATGCAAAACGGACGCGTGCGACCTTAGTTACATGGTGGGCTGAAATTCCACACCGACCCTCTACGTTCGAGATTTTAGGCAAGATCCTATTTACGCCTACCGGAAGCTCACTTTTGACGGTGAGGGGCAGGCGTACTCAGAGCCTCTCGCGCCGGATGTTGTCCCCGCTCCAGTGCCTTAATGTCGGAAAAAGAGGCTCGCCGACAAAGATCACGACAGCTTTGTTGTAATAAGTGAGTGTAAAAGCTACAACGACGTCGGCCTATTTAAAGGGCACTTTTTGATATTGATCCAGGCCGTCTGATCGGCGTTTAGTGAGCAACGATCACCATCTATTGTACTTCTGTAAAATGTTTAAACACTTGTCCTATTCGGTCGTGGCGTGCCTGAACACTCATCAGATTTCGCTGAATTGATTGATTGAGTGATTGACTGGCCTGAATGATTGTCGGCTTCCCTATTGATTATTTTGGTTGGTCCCATTTGGTCCCTGGCATTCTGTGTTTTTTCTATCCGGATTCTGCGTAAAACGTTAAAAAGTTGCGGAAACTCTCAGTTTGGCCATCTATATGAGGAATCACCAACACAGTTTTCTCTGTTGTATGCTGTAACGCTTTGGTGTATCGTACACGGTTTTTGCTCAGTTTCGGTCTGCTATTTAATGGGCACTGTGTTTTTTATGCGTCTTACCCCGAATCATGTACAAAGTGGACAGCGCACGCGCCAATCTGCGTTTGTGTGCACTTGTGTTCGTGTGTGTGTACGCACCGGCTCAAGTGGGTTGTATATAATTCCTTAGAGTTATCCGTCGTACTACCTGACAAATGTGAAGTCCGAATTGCCCTCATGAATGATCAAATCGCCAGTTACTTCATCGGCCTTGAATGCAGTTGGTTCCTCTAGCGCAATTACCCTGTACTGTTGCGATTGGTTCATCGGTGCGACCGCACCGGAATGATGCAATGTGCGATAAAGTCGTGCCAGAACACTGGGACGACTTACTATCATTCTACAGCTGTCTGAAGACAAAATCTTCACGGAGCAGGCACAGTTAAAGCGAAAAACACCACTCAACGGAATGAATTTTAGCCCCTCATATTCGTATTGGACCACGGACAATTTTGCGTTGACCAGGTGCTAGAACAACGCCATACGTATGAGCCACCCATAATTCTAGTATTCCTGGATTTCCGAGGCGCATTCGACTCCGTCGATCGGTTTGTTCTTCTTGAGACGCTTGCCCACCAAGGAATGCCCCGGAAATTTGTAGACGTAATACGTTATTTGTATTCGCAGACTTCCGGACGTGTGAGAGTGTACGGAGAGCTCTCCAAAAGCTTCCGTACACAAAGCGGTGTCCGTCAGGGATGCCCACTCTGTCCGTTGCTGTTTAACTTCGTGATCGATGAAATAATGAGACGAACGCTGGAGGGTCTCCAAAACCCTGGTGTTCACGTAGCTTGTGAAGAAAATCTTGTCGATCTGGAATATGCAGACGACATCGTTCTCGTCTTCGAAGAGGAGGAGAAGGAGTAAGTATTCTCGGTATGGACTTTGCACCCACAAAGTGCAAGGTCATGCTCCCGAACACACCACTTACAATCCAGGGAGCGGTACTGGAAGTTGTGGAGCGTTTTACGTATCTTGGAAGTTGTATTAGTTCTGATTG